AAAGAAAGAAAGAAAGAAAGAAAGAAAGAAAGAAAGAGAAAGAAAGAAAGAAAGAAAGAAAGAAAGAAAGAAAGAAAGAAAGAAAGAAAGAAAGAAAGAGAGTACTGATTAAACTTTCAAAATCCTTCCAACAATGGTCATCCTCAGAACTATTAAACAAAAACAACAGTCTCGGGATTCAAGGTGCTATTTTGATTTACAAGTTAGATCAGAGACAGGAAACTGGGTAAAAGAAAAAGAGAATATTTTTCTGGGTCTACAATTGTAAGAAATCTTAAGTGCTGTTTCCAGAGCATATCTTATAAGTGTTATAAATTGATTTGCTAGAAAAATATTAGGATAGAAGTCAGGGTATGTTAAATGTAGCATCAGTTATCTGCTGCTGGTTCTGTGACATAGAATGTTTTGACTGCTTTGACTCCTGGGGTTCAGGCAATTTCTGGGTCCCTTTCTAATTTGGGAACATTGTGGTGTTGAGAGTCTTTTACAGAAGATTGTCCAAGTTTTGAAAAATCTGAAGCAACAGGATTTAAAGTGCAAAAAGAACTTCCAAAACTGTGGAGGGATCAGAAAAATAGTTGACTCATGAGATGGGTAAGCTTAAGACAAGGCATTGTAAGAGGGTAACATTTATACATTTATACAGTGATGACATGGTCATCCTGTCATAAGGTTCTGGGAAAGAGTCTAGAGGTCCTCACAGACTGCCACATAGAGGCATGTTTTGAACACTTTGTACATGTTCTTATTATTTAATCTCAACCTTGCCGATAGTCATGCTATGACCCTGGGAAGTTACTAAGCATTTCAGCCAAGGCTCCTTCTCATCTGCAATCCAGAGGCAATGGCATCTATCTTTGGGGTTAAAATAAGATTGAAATTTTAAATGTAGCATAGTGGTTATCACATAGAATACCCTTAAAAAAATTGGTCTTGCTATTTGTGATGGCTGAAGCTAAGAGAACAAAAGATACAATGGACAAAACTAGGCAGGAGTTTGGAAGTATCACAGAAAACATGGCATGAGATGGCCAATATACATGAAAGCATTTAGCCCAGTGCATGTGCCCAGCACAGGGTCAGTTAAGCTTGGCTGACTGATTCGCTAGGGGAAGCTACAGTGTTCAGGGAGTGTTTCAAAAGTAATAAGAAGGAAAATAGTCAGGATTTTCCTAGAATGATCTTCAGAGACCATCAACTGAATTTGCTCCCATTTTGCTTTAAAGTTTCTAAAAGTGAGCACCACATGTTTTTCATCTTATTTTTGTGATTTAAATTAATTAAGGACAGCAAAGTGTGGAGTTTCTTGTCAGCCAGTAAAAGTCCACTCTTAATCACAGTGGCGTAAGTAGAACCCTGACTCAACAATTTGCTTATTGTTTTACCTGCTTAATACATTAGCAAATATTGGGTTATAATGGGCCAAAGCAATAAAAAATGAGAAGTCATACTCCAATCAATTCATAATAAAAGATATAATATTTACCTTTCATGTTCTAAATCATCATTCATTTTTTACTGAAATTTAGCTACCTTTCTTTTCATTATTCAATCTTGCATGTTTTTCTTAAGTATTAATTTGGGCATAGGGTAACTGTAATCATGTTTTTTCCAGCCAGTTGCAACATGAAAATGTAGTTTTGATTTATATTTAAAATTCATATGAGAGGAACATTTTTAAATAATTAAATGCTGGGCTGTTCCTGAGATAGGGACAGGGTTTGTTTTCAAATATACATGATCTGAGAATTTCAGCGAAAGGTGTAAAAGGAAAAACCAATAAAAAATAAGACAGATGATAAATGCTGTGTTGATGTTAAGTAAAACCAAGCAAGCTGTGACCTCAGCCTGCCTCTGGGGAGTCCTTTGGACTTGTTGGAGCATTGGGGGTTTGTAGGAATTTTTCCCCCAGTCACATGGGTTGAGGCTGGATTACAACTGAGATGCAGAGATTAAGGTCCTGGTGTGGCTAATCCATTAAACCCCTGCTTCTCTTAAATTGAATGAACTTAAAGTAGAAGCTGGCAATAGACTCTACCAGCTAGTCTGACTTTCTGTGACGTAAGAAGTCTTAACCGCTGGAGGACAAGAAAGTAGGAACAAGGAACTGGGCAACCTTCCTAAAGCATCAGCATTTTGTACCTTTGGGGATTCCTTATTAATTGATTGTATATGCCCATACATTGCTTCAATATCTCTCTTTTTAAAACAGGACCTTTGGGCTGGCCAAATAGCTGAGAGGATTAAAGCGCCTGCAAGCAGGTACAGGGGCCAGGGGTTTGATCCCTGGGCCTGCTGTGCTGGCCCCCTGGGGGGGGAGGCTGAGACAACAATTAAAACTAAGACAGCAATTGAGACTGGGCATGGTGGCACGAGCCTATAATCCCAGCTCTTGGGAGGCTGTAAACTGGTGAATCACTACCAGTCCAATGTAGTAGTGAGACCCTGAACACCCTGTAGACCCTTTCCTAAAATACAAAAAAAATAAATAAATAAATAAATAAAAATTAACATAAAAAAATTAAATAAACAGGACCCTTTACATGAATATTTTAAAAAACAATGATGTAAATAGCATCTTTTTTTTTTTTTTTCCGGTGCCAGGCATTGAACTCAGGACCTTGTACTTGCCAGACAAGCACTTATTCTACTGAGCTATCTCTCTGGCCTGATCCAACTTTAAATAATTTAGAAAATGAATTATTAATGCAGCTATTCTTAATATACAGGTTTAATATACATATTCACTGAGATAAATATGTGGATCATATGCTTTATTTTTTTAAACCTTTTTCTTTTTTTTTTTAGTACTGGGGATTGAACTCAGGACCTTGCGCTTACCAGCCAAGTGCTCATTCTACTGAGCTATCTCCCCAACCCGGATCATATGCTTTAAAACAAGGTTCATCTGAATGCTGACAAAATGATGGGAAGTGGATTATATACATAGATGGATAGATATGGCACGGGTGTGATCCACAATGTTATGCTAAATTGGTAAACAAATTTGATGAAATTGAAACAACATTCAAACTTACACCTATTCATTATCAATCTAGGGCTCTTCAAAAATAATTAGGAAGAAGATAAAAAGATGAGAGACATGGTCATGCAGCTGAGGATATTTATTTATTTATTTATTTATTTATTTATTTATTTATTTATTTTTGCGGAACCAGGGATTGAACTCACAGCTGAGGACTTTTAACTAGGAGAAACATTATAATTTAGGAAGAGATGATTTAGAAATAAGGTTGAAAGTACATTTTCTTCACTGATATGTTTTACATGTCTTGAGACACTGTACGGTTTGCACTGAGAGCGATTGACAGCTCTATCTGAGCTGACGTTGTGCCCCTTGTCTCATACAAACTGGAAGGCTTAGGGTAAGTTAACGGCTTTTGCATCTCAGGTTTCTAATCTGTAAGATGGTAGTGACATAACCACAATGACTTTTCCCCATAAGTGTTAAGTGACACGAAGAAAAAAAGTATGTTGTGTTACTATTGAGCAGATAATAGCCTAAAGGCCATGACCTTTTAGTAGCATCGCATTCAGAACATGTGACAACCAGTTGTCACAGCTTCTTTGGAGAATGGCTGCCTGCTTTGTGGAGAACCTTGTGCTAGAAGCTGAAAAACCCACAGTGACTCCCACTGGCTCTAAATGGAAAAGAACGCACTTTGTGAACACAAACAGTTTAAATGTCTATCATGCTACATACTGAACCACTTTCCAACTCTTATTTATTTATTTTATTAATTTCATTGAGAAAGCAATGAGACAGTTTCAAAACAGGTTGGTAGGACAATTGCAATAATTAATACACTGCATATTGTTGTCTTTGTAATAGCCATTCATAGTACAAGATGCAGACATGATATTTTGTCTAAACACTATTAGGTCAAAACTTCTCACTGAACTAAGAGAAAGTAGCTGTATATCTATGCTATTTTGTATATACAGATATATTTTTTCACTACAAAATGGTCCTTCATTTATATCCCCCTATTCTGCTTACTTTTGTCAGAGATGGGTGTTCAAGGTCAGTGAGAACTTAGGACATAAGAGAGTCTGTACTGTACCGTCCTGGAACTCAGTGGTGTTACAAATTTTCTGATCAAGGGGATTATGGGGCCACAGAGGAAAGTGGTCGACAATGTAGAGTGTACCTAAGGAGAGTCACAGGGAGAGAAAACATTCCCTCAGGCTTTCACAGAGGCCAACTCTTTCATTTGCCTGCAGAGTATTACATGAATGCCTTGTCACCACTTTCACCCGGGTCTAGGCTGTGCTCTCACCTTCTTGTGACCCATCTGAAACGTGTGGGATGAGCCTACACATTCTCCATGTTTGCCAGAGGCTCCTGCTTATGCTGTGGCTGTGGTCAGTCCATCCGTCCAACCAGCCATGGTCTCATTCTTCTTTATTTTTTTAACAAAATCTTTTATTCATTTATTTATTTGGTACAGGGTCTTGCTACACAGCTCAGACTTGCAGTGATCCTCTTGT